CCCAAAGGTCAGTGCAGACCACGTGTTCAAGGAGGACTGACTGGAGGAGAGATACGACACTCCTAATGTCAGAAAAATGAAAACATACATAGGGGAAATATTGGTAATGTTTAGGTGTGTGTGAATGTGTGTGTGTGAAACCTACAGCAGATATAGTTACAAAAACAAAGAGGGGGGCAGACGGGAGGGAGGGAGGGTCAAAACAGAAATATAATCAGAATGAGGTGTGACAGCATTCTTTCTGCCAAGCTCTACAGCCCTGTCCAGCACACACACACACACACACACACATAAATACAACTTTAACACACTCTTGGAGAGAGACGCAGCCACTGGCCAGGAAACGCACATATGATTGGAGGGAATGGAATGTTCCGTCTGCAGTCCAGAGCTCAGGGCTGCTGGAACCCAGACCAAGTGCGTCTGTGTGTGTGTGTGTGTGTGTGTGTGTGTGTGCAGGGTCAAGGTATAAATAACCCTGCTCGCTCTGTAAGTGTTTAGCACAGAGTTGTTTCTTTATAATGTGCTGTGTCGTGGTCTGTCCTCACACCTGACTCTTCATACACACGTTGAACAAAACTGTGGACGCAACTTTAAAAATAAATAAATAAACTCTACCCACCAAATATGAACTTTCTGTTTTTGGATTAGTGACTTTTTAAATTAATAAAGTTCAAAACTGGACTGTATGGAGGAACGAGTTTTCAATCTCATACTTGAAATTGAAAATATATATATAGAGTAAATACAGTTCACTTTGGTGACACATGGACACACATTAGTGTACGTGTGTGTGTGTATGTGTGTGTAACTGATGTTGCACAAGTTGTGTGTTTGACCCAGCAGTGGCCACTGTTGACACTGGGCTTGTATTAGCGCTAGTTTACATAATGATTGATAAAGTGTAATTATACACACACACACACACAAGTATACACACAAGTATACACACATAAATATGGCGTCAGGTATGTGTTAAGTAAACCACAGGTGTGAGGCTGTGGTCACGGAGTTTTTGTCCAATTGCAGCAGTGAAACAGGGTTAAAGGGGAGGAGCCAGAGTGTGTGAGGTGACTAAGAGTGATGTGACCTTTGACCCACTGTAATCTCCTCGCCCTCTGACTCTGTAACCTTGTTGACTTACCACTTTCCTGCAGCACAAGTCAAGATGAGCTGAGTTTGGTGTGTGTGTGTGTGTGTGTGTGTGTTTTAGCTGGGTGTTTCCTATCTCTCAGCGAACACACAGAGATAGGAAACTCAGCAGAGCCGTCTGAGTTCACATATATGCTGTAGCTGGCTGATGAAACACACTTGCAACACACTGCAGACCTGACCCTCCCTTCCCTGCACTGCCTGACAACGCCAAACGCCTCGCACCCACCAATCAGCTTCACTGGAATTAGCACAGTTACATCCAATGGCGCAGTACATGTAGAGTCATCTCCACCAATCCGGTGGATTTCCTTGTCGTCCACCTAGTGGGTGATAACTTGGGCTCATTTGTCTGTGGTAATAAATTGACCTAATTCCCTCCGAGTCACCTTAGAATCCTTGACACAACTCCCTCCTTCAAATGTTACACACACTCCTACATTCAGATTTACTTCAGCACAAACATAAGACGTTCCACCTACGCACCTTCAGAAATCAGAATAATGAGACAAAGGAGAGCGAGGGATTCCTAGCGTGGTTGCTGACAGTGATTAATTGTTCCCACATGTTGCTGATGGACAAAAAGGCCTCTGTGTTCCTGAGCTCTGGCTGCAGCTGGTGCACACACACACACACACACACACACACACACAGCTGGGCCCAGTCTCACAAAGCAAGTTCAGCTCTGTCAGGCTACTTTTGAGTGAGCTGGCTTCAGAAATGTAACCCCCAGTGAACCTGAGTAACTGGTCTCCTGAACAGTTGATGATTGTTGTTAGAATTTTTCAGCAGCGGAGGTGGATTTAATAAAAAAAAAAAAAAATTTTAAATCATCATCTCCATGTGAACTGTTAGTGTTCATCTGTTAATCTTTGGTTACTGCAGCGTAAGAAGTAGGTTTGCCTTGTTTTTGTAGGGAATGCTATATATTTAGGCTAAATATAGCACACCTACATAGCCCACTTAACATGAACACAGGGTATAAATGTGCTTAATTAATGCCTGGAACAAATAAGGTCAAGAACAACCAAGAACTAAAAAAAGACCCTTAAAATAGCCTGGCAGCGTGAACTGTGTAATTATCCCATAGAAAGCTCTGGCTACGAGCTGCATTGGAGTGTGTGTGTGTGTGTGTGTGTGTGTTATTTAGCTCTCGTGGTTGCATAGTAGGAGTTATGAATCAGAGCCGCTGTCTCAGTGAGCCGTTTTTATTAATGGCCTCTGGGAATACCCTGGAGGAGCTACAGTACGTGTACAGTTTCCCACTTTCACATCCAGTTGCCGTATAAATCCAAAAATGCACACAAGGCTTTAATCCCTTCAACTCAACTCACTGGCAAATTACAATAACGTCAGTTTATTTTCCCAGTCCAAACTTCAATACATCACAAACTCACTGAATATCAGGTGGAGGCAGAATCAAACAGGCAACAATTAGGCAATACAATTAGGAACACAGCAGTAAAAAACAGGAAACAACACAGACCTTGGAACGATGAACTGGATGAGGGAGAGAGGTGTGTCTGATCAGCACAGACACAGGCAGGAGAGAAGAGAGACAGAGAGACAGACCTCACATGGGCAGTGTTTATGCCATTTAAACAGGGAAACAGTCAATAAACCATAGTAATATATGGAGTATGAGAAGCCAACTTGTCAACTGGTAGTGCCTCAGTGTCTGCACAAGAAAAGCAGGCGACTACGGTATTGGCAAAAAACAAACTTTTTGGACATGTTCCCAGGAGCACATGAGAAACATTAAATTTCCAAATGTCATTAACAGTCGAGTGTGTCATGAGAAAAACATTAGATCTTGATTTTGGGGAGAAAAGTGACAGCCCCGAGAAACACGTCCTTCCATGGCTCTGGGTTTCTTCCAGGGATTCGGTTTCATATTTCTTCTCCTCTTGTGTTGTTGCTCCATGACATTGAGTTCAAGTGATACCTGCTGTTTGAAGAAAAAACAGCAGCGTGGAAAAGAGCCACAAAGAACAAGTGGTTTGATAAAGAGAGTATAGAATGAAGTGAGAGAGGACTGATGAAGTGTCAGGTCCTGACAGGTAAATGTTTACATC